CCCGCCGGAGGGGCCAGCCCCGGCCCGAGCCCGTCTCGCTGCCTGGCCCCGCGGCCCCCGGTGCGCAGCCGCCATGCCGTGGCCTTTCTCGGAGTCCATCAAGAAGAGGGCCTGCAGGTACCTGCTGCAGAGGTACCTGGGCCACTTCTTGCAGGAGAAGCTCAGCCTGGAGCAGCTCAGCCTGGATCTCTACCAGGGCACCGGCTCCTTGACGCAGGTCCCTCTGGATAAGTGGGTAAGAGACCAGCGCTTCACCCCCTTGGCTCCTGCTGCGTCTGAGGGACCAGCTGATTCCCTGCCCCCAGCCGCCACCCACTTTATTTTCAGTACCCAGCCTCCTTTACATAGAATGTTACAGCCATAATTAGCATTTAATCAGGGAACTCTTCTCTGATAGCACTTAAGAAAAAGAAAAAAATAAAAAGAGAGAATGTAGGCATTTATTACAGATATGTTTTTTTAGCCAGACTGGTTTTGTTATTTTTAATTATGAGAAAGGAAACAAAAACTAAAAGAAGGCAATAGCTGCTGATATTTCAGGAAGAAGGAGCCAGTGTAGCCCAAGCTACTTGAAATTGTTGCTGTAGTTACTGAGGAGCATGTTTACTGACTACTAGTAGAGTTTATAAAAACATAAAGTAATCCCTGTTCTATCTATGCCTTGTCTTCATCTTGCTTCTTACTGACAGTGTTATGCTGAGCTTAGTCCATGTACATCTATAAAAATCATTCCCTAGTCTTGCAGTGGTGACAAAGTACTTGTTGACAAATGGAAGGCTGTTTTCAGCTGGAGTTTGCTTAGCAGGTGGGCTGTCACACTTTGAACCAACTGAAGCTTTTTTCTAGTCTTGTCATGTATGTTTTTATATATAATATATATGTGTGTGTGTGCCTATACACACACATATGCATACTTCCAGCCTACTGTAGTAATCTAAAGGTCTGTGTTTGTGATATTTTGTAAAGTTCCTTGAGTTAATTACCAATGTTACTGAATTCTACCTGCCAGTCAAGTGACTGTCATGAAGAGCCTTAAGCACTGCTGTGCGTCAGTCGTTGACTTCCAGGCTAGCACAGATGATGAGCTAGGTACGCAGCCTTATTGCTTTACAAAGCACTTTCAAAACAAATTTTTAGTATACTGCGTTCTGGTATTAGGCCATGCTGGGTACGTTTTAAAATACTTGTGAATATCTGATATGTTAAAATAATGTGTTTCCATTTGTTTGTGTGAAAATCTTTGAAAGTGGCAGGAGACAGACGTTTGCAGAAGTGCTCAATATTATTAGTGGTTTAGTGTGGGGGTTTTTGTTGTCTGCTTGTTTTGGTTTTTTTCTTTTCTGGCTGTATCTGTAGCTTGTTTTCTTGTGGCAGGCAAAGGCTGTCTCGCTTTAATTGAATTGCTGTGCCCTCTAGTGGGTATCACAGCAGTCTTCACTAGTCAAAGTGACATTATTTAAAATGTAAATACTTTGAAACACAGCAGTTATGGACCCGTACTAAATAAACAATTGATTTTGCATACACAGTGATTAAATGTATATGCAATAATGCTTAGGTTATCTTCCCCATTTGTAGATCAGCATTTTTCTTTTTGGCTTGTAAACAATGACATGTTTGAGGTTCTTTGCACGTGACTTTCTCATGTATGACAGATTGCAAAAACAGATGTCGCGGAAGTACTGCAGCTCTTTTTTTTCCCCCTAGTCATTGTAAGCTTGTTTTCTGTGAATCACCGGGATGACTGTACTTTTATGTATTATCTTTTCTATTTTTGTGGATACTTCTGTTCATTTTAACGTTATAGATATTTTAGCCACCCCTGTACATGTTTATAGATTACAGAAGTATGTAGGAATACCTGGGACTTTTAGTGTAACCCCTTTGCTTCTTGGGACCTGGGCTGTTGAGAAAAATCAAAATGTAACCCATGATGTTTGTGGTTGAATTTTAATATACATTGACTAATACTTTTGGTATTAGTATTACTGTGATTTCCAGCTGGAGACTTTCAGTCAGTAACACGGGAGCAAGTCCTGATGTGAAGGCTGTGCTTCAGTTTTAAAATTTTACTTGAAATGCTCAAATTGCTGCTTTCTAGGAACAACTGGCTTGTTTATTAAGTAATTTAGCTATAAGAATACTTGTTTTTTTGCTTTAAGATAGTAAATTTCTATTTCAAAGTAATAAGGAATGTACTAAAATGCACTCATTTTTATTGCCATGTACATTGGTAGCAAAAAGACATCTGAGGTCAGATTTATTCAAAATATGGTAACTACCTTAATTCCTGCTTTTTGAAGCAAATTATTTTGTAAAGGTTCAAGTAATTTAAATGAATCTGTGATATTTTCAAATATGATTTTCATGTGAAATAATTATTTTTGCCTTATATTATACTATTACCACATCTGTAATTCTTACATTTAGTTCAAAATACAGTTTTAATGTCACTGAATCTTAGTTGTTTATTTTATTCTTAAATAATTTCCTGATAGAACTGTTCAAGGTTCTGTTTCTTTAAAGTTGGTGTCTTTTTCTGCTGCTTGAGTGAACTTTGGAACAGAAACTAGAAGAGCCAAACATGCAAGCAAACAAAATTCTAGAAGTAAAGTTATTAAGAGCATAGGCACAGCAGCAAGTTAATATGATGGGAAAATTGCACCTGGAGACACAAGAATGAAAAATGTCATTTTCTGAAGACTTTTTGTTTATTTTTATTTTTAAATTATTCTGTATAATTAGAACACAATTTTAAATATAGTTAAAATGAAAAGGAACTTTAAAATCCTTATTTAAAAAAAAACCCCAAACTTTTGATGTTGACTTTATGCATTTTCTCAGGTAAAATCAGTGGCCCTGTTCAACACAGGAAGGTCAAAACCAAACTTCTTTTGCCAGTTGAACATTACATACTAATATTACAACCGCAATCTGTAGTAGGGTCTTGTATATATTGCACTGACCAAATTTGGTATGTGATTTAGATTGTTTTTATTTTATTAAAGCTACCTACTTAGTTCTTGTTCACTAATTTAAGTTTTAACTAAATTCGTTAATCAGGGCACAAACGGGGATTTGCTTTTTTTTTTTTAACATAAATGCAAAAGAATGTTTCCTTTGAAAATAAGCTCTTTGGACTCTGTATGGACGTAATGAAAGCTATAGTGCAACAAGTGAGTCTTTTCTGAGGATTGTAAAAAACTTTAAAATACTGAGTTACTTCTTCAGAGCTGGTGTTCCATTTTTCTCATCAATTTCACATACTCTGTATGTTACTGAGGTCAACATGATTGTAGTTTTGTCTATAATGTGACTGTAAAGGACTGGATTAACAGATTAGTTTATGTAGAATATTGGTCTGTCCTCTGAGCTTTGATTTTTAAATTGGTGCTGAACATTTAACACATTAAAATATGATTTAGAAGTGGCAAGTATTTTATACAGCAAGAGGTGATGATTTGGTTCTGTTGTTCCAGTGTCACAAAGGAATGTAAAAACAACATTGCGTTGAAATGACATGCTAGCAAAATACTCTTGCCACAGAAACCAGATACTTCTTGTGTTTTTACTGTCAGCCTGTTTTCAGCTTTCTTCAAGTATTGCCAGAGAAAGAATAGTTGTGTCAGTACTGTAGTTTTTATAACAGTAAGATAGCAGAATTATTTTGGTATAGTGCAAAAATACAGGTTATACAGCTACCACAGAGAAATCTGTGTTATGCTGAAAGCTAAGTGATTAGTGTGAAACAAATTATTATAGGATCAAAATACTTGAAAGTGGACAATTTATTGTCTTTCTGAGTATAATTAATTTTCTGATATCCTCAATATATTTTATTTGTTATATGCAAAATTATGGATGTGATTTTAAAAAAAACCATTATTTTTATTTTATTCTCTTCTTCTAGTGTCTTAATGAGATCCTGGAGTCTGCAGATGCACCTCTGGAAGTCACAGATGGATTTATCCAGTCAATTTCTTTATCTGTTCCCTGGGGGTCGTTGCTACAGGATAACTGTGCATTAGAAGTAAAAGGCTTAGAGATGGTCTTCAGGCCAAGACCAAGGCTTGGTAGGCTTATTTTTTTATTTTTGAAAAGGAGATTCTTTATGGTTTTTCAGAGGCAAAAGGCTACACTTGCTTTAGTCAGTTCTTAGCCTTATTTAAAGTGCCATTTAATTTACATACATTAGTGACAGAGAATGTAATAAAAAAACCCTAAACTGTCAGGTGTTCACCAGTTGGTTGTCAAGTGTTTCTCAATCGGTTGTTGTTCTGTTAAATAACTTAAAATGTTTATAATGTTCCTACTGTTGTATCTCCCAAACTGTTTCAAACGTTTTGAAATTACAGTCATACTGTGTGGCCAGGAGTTTGTTAGCTGGGTTTTTTGGGTGTTGGATGCCAAGTGCTGTTAGTCAGCATTAGTATCTGGCTATCAGGTGGCAGTGAGATAACACAATAATGTAGGAGTGTGAGAGGGTTTGAAAACCAGTGAGGTTTTGGCTTTCTTTGGCAACTTTAGGGTAAAAGATGCATCTTCTTGTATATTTCGAGAACTAACACATTTTAGTTGCTATCACAATCTGCAATAATGACTTTAAAGTACTCTAACTAGAACTAAGTTTTGAGCTGTCTTACTTTCTGATCTAAGATTATTGCTTTGAAAGAATGGTAGTATTAGGAGGAAGTTTTTATTTTTTCACTCGTATCCATTTAGTTCTCTCTGATGCACAGAGCCTTATAATACAGTAGAAAAAACCCACGATGCTGGTTTTATCACACTTTTATAGCCACAGACTTTTCCAGACCTGAATGCTAAGCTGGAATGTTTTGCCTGTTTAACATGTTTGTATTTGTATTGGTTTTGGTTTCGTTTGCCTTTACTAGAGTGTTATAGTTTAATTTGATTAACTTTTCTAATCTCATCCCTCATTTTATAGTATTTGCTCACAATGGGCTTGGCATACCTGATAGGAATGTACTGTTAATTAAGTTAATCTGGCTGCTAAAAAAACTTGTTCAGCTTAATACGTGCTGTGCTCTCTGGTTTTATTATGTTCTACTTATGTCAGGTCTGTGTTAGACATTTAAAATGTGTTCTAATATGCCATGATAACATTAAACCTTGTTTAGTCTTTCCTCATCTAGGATATGTTTCAGAGGGAAAAAGAAACATTAAAGTAATTCATAAAAAAAGAGAATGTTTTCCTCGATTTCATTTTGCTGATTATGCCTGTTTCATCTTGTTTATATTGAGTTTTCAAATACCAGGGAAAAAAAAAAAGTACTTTTAAAGTAGTAAAGTGTATAAAGTGAGATTGTAACTAAATTTGTTTTTAAGTACAACTGTTTCCTAGCTGTTGAAACTCTTTTCTGGGTATGCCAAATTATTATTTTGTTTTGTCTTTATTGTTTCAACATGTTCACAGTCAAATTTATTAAGACTTCTCTTACTCCACAGCATCTGGGTCTGAGCCTATGTATTGGTCAAGTTTTATGACCAGTAGTATGCAGCTTGCAAAAGAGTGTCTTAGCCAAAAATTGACAGATGAACAAGGAGAAGGGTCCCAGCCTTTTGAAGGACTTGAGAAATTTGCAGAAACTATTGAAACAGGTATGAATTAACTACTGAGATCTGAATAAACACCTGAGATTTAATCAGTTTCTGTTGTGGCTCAGTTTTACAAAATAGCTTCTCATTTGCCATCGCTTGTCTCACAAACTTTCACTGGTTATTTTACCTGTAAAATTTAAACAGGAAGGGAGGATAATTGATCTTGTTTTCAAAGGTGGGGGAAAAAAGGCCATTTACTTCCCTCAGTGGACAGAATGAACGCTACTTCAGGGCAAATTGGTGTTTTTTTACACCAGAACAAATCCAGCTAAATCTGTGCTTGAGTGATTTGTGAGATGCTTTAGCTTTGGAGGTAGCAATTTAGTTCATCATACAAACTTAGATTGTTACTGGTAATGCTGTTGAGGCAGAAACAGCGAATGGTTTTTCAGCTATTTTTACACAAAGCTGACCTGTTGTGACTTGTATCTCAATAATCACACCATGCTGTTAGAAGTACTTTAAAAACTGGGTTTTTTTTTTATGATGGTGGTTTTTTAAGTGGAAGAAACTAAGGGCTTATAACCACATTATGTGGTAGAGAACCTAAAGCTGAAATGTCTGAGATAAGGGAAATGTTTCAAATCAGACCTAGAAATAGAAGTACTCAGCCGAAGTAGTGTGGTGCTGTAGCAGTATGTAGGAGTTCAGACGTGGTGCACAATGAAGCAGGTATTTTCTGTGAGGATCATCCACACTGAGCCATAGAGCAACTTGTTTTGAGTTGTCACTTGCTCAAATGTCCGTGCATTAAAGGTCCATTTCATGGTATGGATGTATATATTGGACATTTAATAGGAGTTTACATTGTCACTTGGTGTCTTGTTACATTATTAAACTCAGTTGATTATTTCCACTGAAATAAATATTGAGAACTGAAACAAAAAATGGAAGACTGTTTTAAATTGGTTATCAAAGTAATTGTTGAGAAACTTGACTTAAATGCTTGCATGGTATCTTTTTGTTTTCTCATTTAAGTTCTAAGAAGAGTGAAAGTTGCCTTTTTAGATACTGTTTTGCGAATAGAACATGTGCCGGAAAACTCTAAAAGTGGAACTGCACTTGAAATCAGAATTGAAAGGTAAAGAGATGTTTTTCTTAAATCTATATACTTATTTTTCCTAAGGCACTTTATGCCATTTCCTGTACAATATGTTTTAGCCATGCACACACTTTCTTGTTATACAATTAAGACACTAGCTCTTGAGCGCCTCTTTTATAATCTATTACCTGGAGACTTGCATCTTTTTAAGAGTTTACTGTTCATGCTGCCTCTCAGCATTATAAGAAATTTAATTTCACATAAATTTTTCAGAATTGGAGCCTGTTCTCTTAATTTTCAACTTTCATTTTGACACAGAATGTTACTTTCAAGTAGTACTTTTAGACAACAGAAAAATACTAGTGACAGATTTAAAAAAAAAAAAAATTCAGATTCTGAAGTAAGAATTGTGTGTGTATGTAAATATACATGTAAATGTATGTATAGAAGTGTTGGGCAGACTCCTTCACTTTGTGGTCAGATTAGACATAATTACTAGGGTAATACACTAGGATACATTCACGCTGGAAGCATGTCACAATTGTCCTGTGGTGTTGTGTAGAAAATTTAAGTTTTCTGCCCATTCCCCAGGAGTGGTGGTTTTTCCTTTCAGGACAATCAGTGACATTGTAAATAAGATGAAGAGAGAGCATGTACAGACTCAAAGGCTAAATTACACAATAAAGGTAACAATGTGCATTCACCTACCATCTTTATTTCCTTGCTTTTGTCTACCAGAACTATGTACTGTGATGAAACTGCGGACGAGTGCTCTGGAATTAATGTACATCAGCCCACAGCTTTTGCTCACAAGTTACTGCAGCTCTCAGGTGTCTCTTTCTTCTGGGATGAGTTTCCTGCATCAGCAAAGTCCTCCCCAGTGTGTTCAGCTACACAGCTGGTAAAATTAAATACATTATATAAGAATGTGAATTGTTGAAGGATAGAGTATATTGTTACACTCATATATTAGATTCATTCTGAAGGATATAGGAGTTGAACTTTTACTTGAATCTGTGTTCAGAAAGTTCCATAATGACTTTCCTGTTGGTTTTGAGGAGGAGGAAGGAAATGGAGACTTTGAGACTGAGTATAAGTTTTAGACGTATTGTACTAGAATCTCGTTGCAACTTTAGTGTGTAGAAGTCCTCTACAATTCACTATTCTGTGGAAACTTGGTGCAGTTTTTTTGCAAAGACCTAATTTTTCAAATTTTACATGCCTTGTTACTTTCACAGTTATCAGTAGATGTTTTAATGTCATTGTCAAATTTATATTTGTGTAAAATGATAATTTGTGTGATAAGCTTATTTGAAATGCTTGGTAACTTCCCCCCCCCAAAAAAATGAGATACATTCTTACTCCTTTCTCTGTAATGTTTTAAGGCAACTGAACCAAAGCTTTCACCTAGCTGGAATCCAAAAATCATTTATGAGCCACATCCACAATTAACAAGAAACTTGCCAGAAATTACTCCTTCTGACCCTGTACAGATCAGTAAGCTGATTGGTAGAATGGAGTTCAGCCTAACATTAAAGCAAAATGAAGTACTTCCTGGAGCTAAGGTTAGTCATGCTTTCCTGGTCTTTAACTAAAATTAATAGTCATATAGGATTTAATTTTTTTCTACTGCATACAAAAAAAGGTAAGATTCTGAAGGGGGCAGAATCCTCTTAGTTTTGTTGTAGATGCTGTGCACTCAAAACCAATACATATGCCTAATAAGACATCTTTACAGTGGTCAGACAAGTCAATGGCACACTGAAATCTGTTAAAGGAGAATTCCTGTACGCTAGAGAGACTGAATTTATGTATTGGAGTAACTCCTGAGAAAGTTGTTTTGTTTTAATGAAACTCCTGCTGCTACTTGTTTATCCTTTTTTCTTGTAGTACTATGACTGACATTGTGTGCGTATGTGTGGAATGTTTGACTGGCTGATTAAAATAACTTTGGTTTTAAAAGGGTATAATTTACTTCAATAATTCCAAGTAAACTTTAAATTATTGATTAGGTTGTAGCATTGCAGCATTATAAAGCTAACATGAAGATTTCTACTTCTGAATTTTTATATTAAATTTATAGTTAATTGAATAGTAATGCCATATTTAAATGCTACTAGTTAAAATAAAAAATTATTTGACTTTTACATAAAGATACAGGAAGCAAAACAGTTGAAAATAAAGCCCTATTTTTTTTTTCTTTTAAAGTGTGAGTATTTAAGTAAAGTTGTGTTCCCCTTGTCTCCAGTTTTAAAGTTTGCTATTGACTTGTCTTGCATATTGTACAATATTCTACAGAAAGCAGAAAGTTTCTGATAGAGTAGAAAAGTTTCTTATGTCCAGAAATTTCTGGTCAATCTTTATAACTTTTCTTGTTTATTCAGTTAAGAAGAGTCTTTGAAAAGTTATATAATATACTTTGTGAAATAGAAAAATACTGACTGTAATACAGTTGACACCTTTAAATTAATTGATGTCCAGATGTTTCTAAAGATCAAAAAATTTTCCACTTTTATATCATTCAGTGTATTTTAAGGTAGCCAGAAGAAAAATGTCAAGGGCAGAGTTGAGAGTAACTTGTTTTATAGGAGAAGGTTGATATAATAGAATGCAGAGCAGTGGTCTCTGCAAGTGGGGCTCGAGTGTAAGCAAACACTGTTGGTATGTTAAATAATAGCAAGATCTGAACTAATTCATGGATGTAATATTACATGACAAAATTAAAGAAGGACCCGTTTTTTGATTTATCAGGTACAGTTTGTGCAGATTGGAAAGTTTATGTCAAGTATGACACACTTTAATAATTTCATTTTCTTTCAACTCTTTTCAAAGGATGGAAAAAATAGTAGGAAACTGTACCCAAAACTAATAATTTATTTTCCGCACTTAGGTAAATATGCCCCTGAGCTCTTTATGAGCAAAAGTATATTTTCATATAAATGCATTCCACTGCATGCCTATTTCCCACCCTCCTCCGTCCCCCTGTGGGTGTGGTGGGTTGACCTTGGCTGGCTGTCATTAACCCATCCAGCTGCTCTCACTTGCACTCCTCAATAGGATAGGGGAGAGAATGCGATGAAAAAGCTCATGGGTTGAGATAAAGACAGGGAGATCACTTAACAGTTACTACTATGGGCACAACAGACTCAACCTGGGGAAAACTGCCAATTAGAACAGAGTTGGATGATGAGAAACAAACTGAAATAGATTCCCATCACCCATTTTTATTCCCAGGCTCAACTTCACTTCTTCATTCCTGAGTCCTTTACCTCCTCACCACCTTGAGCAGCACAGCAGTGATGAGGAATTGAGGGGTTGCAGCCAGTTTGTAAAAGTTCCTGTCTGCTGCTCCTTCCTCCTCACACTTTTCCCCTACTCCAGGGTGTCTCCCTCAGGCTGCAGTCCTTCACAAAGTGCTTCAGTGTGGGTCCTCTCCATGGGCTACAGTCCAGCAGGATAAACCTGCTCCCAGATGGATCCTCCATGAACTGCAGTTCCTGACAGGAGAAACTGCTCCTATGTGGGCTCCTCTCCATGGGCTGCGGTACCTGCCAGGAGCCTGCTTCCTTCAGGGCACATCTGCCTGCTGCAGAGTTGGGTCTCCCATGAGCTGCAGTGATAGTATCTGCTCTGGTGTGATCTCTTCCACAGGCTGCAAGGGAATATCTGTTCTGACACCTGGAGCACTTTCTGCCACTCCTTCTTCCCTGATCTTGGTGTTTGCAGGATTCTTTCTGTTCCTGTTTTTTCCTCACTGCCCAGGCAGCATTTTGCCCTTTCTTAAATATCTTTTCACAGAGGCACCACCAACTTTGCTGATGGGCTCAGCTGGGTCCTGAAGTGGGTCCATTGCAGGGCCGGCTGGAACCAGCTCTGCCCGATATGGGGACTGCGCAGAGCTCTTAGCACAGAGGCTGCCCCTGCAGTGTACCCTTCTGCCAACACTTTGCCAACTACACCCAATACAATGAGTAAAAATCGTGAATGGTTCAATGTCTGGGAGTGCAGGATTCTAGAATTGAAAAATAAATCTATAGAAGTCCTTAAAGATAAATTTATCTTGAACTGTTCTCAAAAGATACATGGCTTACTTTAATTTGATTTATATGGTATACAACAAACTTCTATAAACTTCCCACTCTTTATGAAGAAAGTATGTGAATTTATTCATCTGTATACTAAAGAGAAGTCCTGAAAAGAACCTTTATAGTTTTTGAAGCTTGCTTCAGAAGGTACTGACTTCAGTACTTTATAATTAGTACATAATACTAACTCTATAATGTTGATTACTTCTGGAATTATTAAAAAAGCAAAACAATTAGCAGGTTAATGGTATTCTTGAATTTTCCTATCAGGCAATTGTGTATTTATTTTAAGCTAATAAATTGTCAGTGACACACCTGGATTTATCCTGCCAAGCTACAGGCTGAAAGCAATACACAATTAAATTTCTAGCTTTTATGTAGAAGATGAAGATACTGCTGGAATGGCTGTATCCTTTACAGCACCAAAATCTATTATCAAAATAGTTGATTCAGAACTTTTAAAGAAACATTCCTGAAGTGTTTTTGAAATTTTTTCTTTCTTTTTTTTTGTTTTAGTTGGATGTAGATGGACAAATAGACTCTGTACATCTATTTCTGTCACCAAGGCAGGTGCATCTTCTGCTGGACATGTTAGCAGCTATTGCTGGACCAGGCAAGTGAACGTTTGTAAACATTAAATACATATTATGGTGCATGAAAAATAAACTTTTCAAGATAAACAAGTTTCCTCAGTGGAAAAAAGTATTTGTGGTGGTAAATTATTATTAATTTCTATCTGATCTTAGCAAAGTGTTTTGTAGCTGCTCTGAGTAGGACTATGATCAATTTATTGACTTCAGTTACAAATTGTATGTGCTGGTAATGAAAATCTAGGTAACAAATAAGGCTTGACAAGTGACTATATAATAGGACAAGAGATGGGGAAATGGTAGGTGAAGAAAACAAGGAGGCCCAAACAACTTTGGTTCTTGTAGCTTCTGTTTCAGGAGAGGGGCTTAGCAGTCCAGTTCCTTCTCTGTTCTGTGCTTTAGTGACAGGCACAGAAGACAAAGAACAGACAGTATTTGAGTTTGTTTGGCCATGTTTGCTAAGTGATGAACAGCAGTGTTTAGACTACTGCAGTAGCAGGATGAGGGTGTTTGGTTTGTTCCCTCCCTACCTAGTGTAACAACACTTATTAGTAGGACAGATAGTTAATCTTCTTTTTGAAAATATTTGGCATGTCCTCACAGATGCTTAATATTTTTTTTAATGATACTGATATGTTTGTTGTACTAGACTTGTTAATTGTTTCGATAACTGGAAAAGCATTACATACAGTTTCCTATTTGTGTCACCTTCAGACCTGAAATCTTAATAATTCCTTAATAGTAAAAACTCTAAGGGATTGTGTCCTTAGTCCCTAAAGCTGATTGAGAAGAGAAATATACGCTGATATTATATGTGAACACATTTGCATATATGACCTTAAAGTGTTTTCTTCAGACTTGAAATTAAAGAATGCTAGGGAGAGAGTAATCTTATTTGGACAAGGAAAATCTCTTAAAACAACAAAATGCATGTATATTTGATGTACAACAGATATGTGTGTATATATATACACAGATGCATATATACACCACAACAACAGTTGGTTAATTTTCATGTTAATTTTTGAATTTTCTTTGGGATACTGCTAAGAAAATTACAGTGGGTTTTCTGTCCTTTTTTTGAATTCAGAGAGCCTAAGCAGGATAGAATTGTCAAATAAAGATAGGAAGAACCGTCCAATGCAGCAGGAAGATGAGTATCGAATTCAGATGGAGTTGAAACGTTATTTAAGAAAAGAGTCTTTATCTGCAGGAGTGTCATCTGAACAAAGCTTCTATGAGACAGAGAGTGCCAGAACGCCTTCTAGTCGTGGCAAGTATAAAAGATGATGCAGCATAGCAAATAATCTGTTGTTAAGGTTATATAAATTAACAGTTCATCTTTTAATCACAGAATGTTAGGGATTGGAAGGGACCTCGAAAGATCATCTAGTCCAATCCACCTGCTGGATTAATGTTAATAATTTAAGTATCAAAAGAAGTTTGACATAGAATAATTGTGTGCTATTAATTGTACTGCTGAATAAAAATATAACGCCTAGTTTAGGTACTAGGCTAGACTTGATCCAGTATTTCATTAAAACTGCTCAGTAACCTCTGAGTTAGTGTGCAACACGTTAAATACGTATGCAGTTGTAACATCTTTTCAAATGCACATTAAGGAAATTAGAATAATGGTTGCATTGTCTTGATATTTATATTTTTATTAGAATAATTTTTTGCTGATTATTTTTAATGTGAAAATATTAACTTTGATTTGTCAAAAGTGAATTTATAGAGATTATGCCAACTTGAGTATGAAAATAGAGCTTTTAACTGTTTTAGTGTTTGTTAGGGTTTTTGCCTTTTTTTTATAATCTCTGTCCATAGATATTACTAATCTCAGCATCAAGAGAACTTGTAACTTCTGTAAATAACGTATTTAGCTGGTTATTATAATAATAAATGGATATTATTATATCCAATATAGCAGTTGGATTTCTGAACTTAAGGATACATTTCTATTAAAAGTGAAGTTTGAGTTTTTTTCACAAGAAAGTAACTCTTTGCTAACTATGGTTCTTATTAGAAGAAGAAGTTTTCTTCTCAATGGCTGAAATGGACATGTCACACAGTCTTTCTTCCCTTCCACCTCTTGGAGACCCTCCAACTATGGACTTGGACTTGTCTTTGACTAGTACATACACAACTACACCAGCAGGATCTCCACTGAGCACTACAGTGGTACAGTATTAACTACATTTAAAATGTTTTTGAAATTAACGCTTTTGTCTGAAACTGTTGCATAAATATTCTTTACAGTATCAAGAACTATTGCAAAATTCTAGAACAATTGAAAATGTTTAGAGCTGATACTATTCCTTTTCTGCTATGGAAGTTGTATCGGAAAGTTTCTCATCTGTTTGGCTGTCACGACAGGAAATGGAATGTATTTGTTTTCAAATACCTTGAGCTTATATATGACACTTTGTGATTTATTTTCTTTTTAATAACTGCATGTTTGCCATGTGAGTTTTCTTTTAATATGGACTACACAGACAATAACAGTAAAAAGTACAGTATCATTTTATTACGTTATTCCTCAAACAACATAGAAATCATGCTCTTGATATCACCATCTTTCCCAAATCTATTATGTGCCTAGTGTTTTGCTTAATGAAAGCCATGAGGAACAGTTGTGCTTTTTACAGAGAAACAGGAGAATATATGCTCATGGAGAGAGCAACTTTATCTAGCTTTAAAAATATGTGGGTGTAGACAATCATAGAATTAAGAAGTGTAGCATATCTACATTGTTTAGTTGAGCACTAATATGCCATGAAATGGCATGCTGTTGACTGTTTATGCACGTATTTTCTTTTTGTTCCTTTATCTTACTATTTATGTTTGATCTACTGTCTAACATCTATTTGCCAAATTTAAGATCATATGTATTTTCATTTCAGCTTCAACCAACTTGGGGTGATTTTCTTGATCGTAACAAGCAAGAACTACAACCTCCAAGGGGTTCTTCACTTACAGCCAACATGGTTCACCAGACTTCCTTAAGAAGGACATGTAAGTAAAAATGTTATTTTGCACTGTGCTTCTTAAGTAATTCTGGAAATGAATTGTTCCACAGCAACCTGGTAAAAAGAAATAAAAATCAAAAGTAAGATGATTTTATAAATGTGTTATTGCTGAAAAATTATGTCAACTTAATTTTGTATTTCAGCTATTCCATCCAGATCTGTTTCTGTGGATGAATCCAGACCTGAGCTTCTTTTTAGACTGGCAGTTGGAACTTTCTCAGTGTCTGTACTTCATATTGACCCTTTACCCCCACCTGAAAGTTCACTGAACCTTAACCCATTGACACCAATGGCTCGGGATTTCTTTACCCGAATAGAAAAGATTGAGCCAGTTAAGTTTTCAACAGAAGATTTTCTGTCCTTCCGAGAAGTATTTGCAGAAGCTTGTTCTCATGATCACCTTAGGTATAACTTTGCTTATTAATAAATATAATTAACAAAAAAAAATCTTTTAAGTAAACTTGAATATAGTAAGTTTATTTCCATAGGAATTCTGTAATTTAATATTTGAATTGCATTAGACTTCTTTGTTAATTTCAAAATAGCCTTGAATTTTCACATCTGTTGTCCAAGACTGTTTATTTTTTTAAATAAAAAAGGAAGAAAAGTGCATGAACATTAAAGTCAACCTATCTCTCCTCAACAATAGATGAATTAAATTAGGTACAGTTTCTAATACAGAAATCTAGAGTCAAGAATTATTAAATAAATTATTTCCTTACAAATAGCTGTATTGTACAGGACCATCTTTATTCCAGTATAGGGTTTTCTACTTGAAATCTGCTTGGGGTTTTAATTAGTGCAAAATAGTATATCAGCAGGGCTAAAAAGTTATGTGTGAGCAAAATCATAAAATTAGTCAATGGTCTCTTTTTTTCCAAAAGTTTTTACTGTCCCAGTACAGTGTATGAAGTAAAATATTTAGGGGGGTATGTATCTTTTCTTACCTTATACGTGTAATTTAGACTTCCTGAGGTATTGGAATATTTTGTTGCCTAATTAAGGATGTTAGATTTCCAGCTTTATGTGAATTGCACTTTAGGTTAGATGCCTAGTCTTCTTTACAAATTTCTCTACACTGACCAATGTTGAACATATGTGTAACATAGTGAGGTCCATTGTCTTTGTTGCTAAGCTATAATGTGTTATAATTAGAATTTTTTCTTATTTTGTAAGAAATTATGGTGGTTTTTATGATTTTTAAAAGGATTGTAGTGATCCTTTTTTAATATTTAAATTTTGACTTTTCATAATTTGTATTTTTATACTACTTTTCATAATTAATAATTTTCATAATTCAGATTTATAGGTACTGGCATCAAAGTGTCTTATGAACAGAGACAAAGGACTGCCTCTCGAAGTTTTAGTACTGATTTATCCATTGGAAATATGGAGTTCCTGGAATGCCTTTTCTCTACTGACTCTCATTCCGTTCAGCCTCACTATACAGAGGTATGTAATGTAAGAAATATAGGGAGTTCCATAGAAAAGAAATGTTAATTCTGTAACTGAGCATATAACTATTTTAAAATCTAGCAATCTTTTTTTTGTTGTTTTTGTTGTTTTTTGTTTTTTGTTTTTTTGTTTTTAAATATGTTGTGGTTTTAAGATGCAACTTACATTTTAAATGCATGCTCAAACAGTGAACCAGACTTCTGTCATACCTGACAGGAACAGCATTAGGTAGCCAAACTTTGCTAGTTTACTTCTCTTTTAAAGCTGCTTAACACAGTTTGGGAATTAGAGTAAATGTTTTCCAAAAACTGACTGATGGAGTTGAGCAATACAAAGGTTACTTTGGGTGACGATTGTTGGTCCAGCTCTTTTAATGGTCAGAGGCATCCAATAACGTGACTTAAGAAGTGGATGGAGTAAGTGGTTGGGATGGGGCTCTGTTCGCTCGCTGACTTGAATGTAGGGTTACCTACTGTCTGTTCTTGGTAAAATGTCATAAACTCGCAACTCTTTCCTCCTTATCTATTAAATATTTTAACTCTATTTTATTCTAAAGCTGCTGACATTTCGTTCTGAAGAAGGAAATGATTCTCATGCTATGCCATGCCTTCAGCTTCATTATAAGCATTCAGATAATAGAGGACCTCAGGTAAGGTGGGAGATTAAAAATACAAAGTTTCTATATAGTAGCTTTTGTCTAATTTTGTAATTTCAACAGAAATGTATCTTTCTTGTGAAACAGAGTCCTTAATGCTCAGTTATTATATTTGTTTCATTGTATTGTTTTTAAGAATTTTAGTGCTTTTTCCCTTTCCTTTCAGGGTAGTCAAGGGAGACTCAGTTCTGTTCCACAGAAAGCAGAGTTACAAATAAAGTTAAGTCCAGTGTTTTGTGAGCTGGATATTAGTATTGTAGACAGATTAAATTCCTTACTTCAACCACAGAAACTAACTACAGTGGAGATGATGGCATCTCACATGTATGCTTCTTGCAACAAGCACATAAATCTGGTAAGTTAAAGATTAATATTTAAGATTAACAAGCTTGCTGATGTTTGGCAGGAGGAAGGCAGGATAGCAGTAAGCCTAGGACTGGTAATTCTGATTGTTTTATGGTAGTTGAATTTTTGGGGGTTTTTTTTGGCTTTGTGGTGTGGTTTTTGTTGTGGGTGGGTTTTTTTTTAATACTTCTAATACTGAACAGTAGCCATCTGATGTAGAAGCTCATTTTAGATTCAGTGGTTGCGTGCTTGATAACAGACCTAAAGACAGTGGTAGCTGCTTCACAAGCTGTATAAGTTCTCAGCTTCTTGAAGCAAACAGAACGGGGCAAAAAAGTGGAATCTTGACTGATTTCTAATCATCCCTTATCTGTCTCATTGTGCCCTCCAGCAGCTAAAGCAAACAGTTACAATTTCACTTCTGTTTTGAAATCTCTATATGTCACAGTCAGCCCAGTTGCATCTGCTCTGCCTTACCCACTTTTGGGCTAGATAATAGGAAGGAAGATATACATTGCATTCTAGTGATCAAGGACCAACAGCAGAACTTGGAGGTTGGTTGTCTTGGTTCAGGTTGTCAGTAGGATTTAAGTCTTAGTATATTTAGCACAATAATGTTTAACTTGAAGGCTTTTCTTGAACTACATGTGGAAGAATTAATGCAGTGAACTGAGTTTCCACACTGCAGCAAATGTGTTCCTGTAGTTTTATTGCTGCATTGATTGTTTAAAGAAAAATTAGTCTTCAAAACTTAAGGAAATCTTCATTTTAAAAAAATGCAAAACACCAATAACTTGTATTAGTACGGTTATGTCCTGAAAGTTTGATTCTTTTCAATGATGGTCAGCAATAAGCTACACTCAGCAAGGTTTTGAATGACATGTCAGTGACTGGAGCTGGAAGCCATGAATTACTGAAAGAGGCAAATACGCATGATGGCAATTCCTGGCTTCTCAACAATAACATTTAAAAAAAACCCAAAAACAAACCATCATTTTTCCTAACTGCAGCTGAGTATCATTTGGTGCTCTTGCTCTAATTCAAGAGAAAAAAATATAAAGATAGCCATTTTCAAAATGTTGCTAACCTCTGCAAATACTGGACTTCTAAGTAGAATCTCAACAGCACCAATAATAGAAGAATATCCTAAAAATAATAATAGGTTGTAATAGGTGTGTTTTGTGTGATATATGAAAAATTAATCTTTTTGATTTTTAGTTATTACATCATCAAAAGCTTTCCCCGTAGTAATTTTTAGTGATACTTCCTCTAATTTACATTTTTTTCCCCTTTACTTTGTTTTTTAGCACAAAGCATTTACTGAAGTTTTTCTGGATGATTCACATACTCCTGCAAACTGTAGAGTTTCAGTTCAAGTCACTGCCCCAGCGTTAAATCTCTCTGTTCGCTTCCCAATACCTGACCTACGGTCAGATCAGGAAAGAGGACCATGGTTTAAAAAATCACTTCAGAAGGAGATTCTTCATCTTGAATTTACAGATATGGAATTTAAGACTGAGTTTATAGGAGGGTCAACTCCAGAACAAGTTAAATTAGAACTTACCTTTAAAGAACTAATTGGTAAGAATGTTAACATTATATTCAAATGTTCTTTTTATTTTCCCAGACTATTACATAGCTGAGACAAAGTTCCTCTCACATGGATAAACACAGAGAGTATCTTTCCATTTGAATTTTGGATCAGATATCTCTGCTGCACTTTAATGTTCTGTGCTAAATATGAGCATAAATCAAAATAATTACTTAGAAGAGGCTACTACATGTAGATGTAGTACTTGCATTCTTGTTTTTGAGATCTAAGCTAGTATTTCTGTTATTTTCTGTTACATTGTTATACCCTAATTTGAACAAACTGGTGTCTGTAGGTTGTCATGGGGTTGGGATAAGTTTTATAGATTTGTAGGGGAATACTACAGTTATGCAAATTAGGAATTTCTAGTCTAGAAATGAAGTGAATGATGTACTAAATAACTGTCATTGAGAAAACTTGAATGCTTTTATTCCTCTAGTGTCTTTCAGATAAATAAATCTGTGAGACTGGTTTATATTTGCAACCTTTCTCTGCTGATTTGTCATTCCATGTACTTTCAAGGCTCTGACGTAATGTAGTGATGCTATAAATGTCAATGCCTGCATCTTCGCATTAGAAGCATCTGGTTTTGTAAGTGCTGCTAGCTAGAATATAATATGAAATTGTTTTTGTTTCTAAAAATTGATACTTAATTTTTGGAGGAAAAGACAATTTGCTTAAGTACCTTACTAATAGCATTGGCAAGTTAGCCTGTTGGACTCCAACCTGAGAACTGGGCTATCTGAAGTTAACAGCTGTCATTCCTGTGTTAATTTTTTAAAAACCTTTCTATTCAGGTTCCTTTGAAGAAGATAATGCTGAAGCACCAATAAAATTTTTTCACGTGTCTGGTGGCATAGATGGAGATATAACATCATCATCAGACAATTTTGACTGGCCTCGGTAAAATAATGTTTTATTTTTTTTTTTGTAGGAGTTGTTTGGATTTTTACGAAGCACTGTTGTTTTTCTAATTTTAATTCAGACTGCCTGTGTGGTAAATGCTTTAAAGTAATTTGCAAAGAAAGAACATGTAGCTATGGAAAAGAACCCAAGAATTTATAAAAAAAAGAAAACCCATGCCCCCCAAACTTTCCCATTTAGAATAATGCAAGATGGTTTTAATGCATAATGGTTTCTGCATAGACTTGACTAAATTTCAGTACAAGTTAGGTGAATAATTAGAGTTGAAATTTTCTCCCCCCACCCCTTTTTTTTTTGCTCTGAAATCGTGTCTTTTTTTTGTGTCACTTTACCTTTTTGCCTACTTCTGTATTCATGACTGAACACCAAACAAAAAAAAAAAAATCTCAGTTGAATTTTACCTCAAAATATTAATATAAGCTGATATAAAGCCATAACAACAATAGGGATAATTATATAGTGACTGAATTATTGCAGTTTGTATCACATATAAGGCAATACAATATTTCAGAGTTACTGAACAGAAGACCTAACAGCTGTAGCATGTAATAAGATGTTTAAAGAGGCAATTTTAGATTTGCCACAGAATTTGCTACATAAATTTTTTGCCGCAAAATTTAGTGGCTTTCTGACAGCATGTTTGTATGGACATTTTTTCAGCGTGGTTTTCTTTTATAATAGTACAAATAAATTTTTCTATAACAGTGTGTACATGTAATGCACCATGTCATGTAGCAGAGCATTTTTTAGTAGCTGTTAATGGTGTAATGATACAAGCATTATTTTGGGAGCGAGCTGGGTTTTTCTTAGGTCACTTGATGGAGTTGAAAAAAGCAGACACTAACTTTTTCTCCTGATGGTTCTTTTTCCATGTCCCTTTGTGCCTAGAAGTTTGGTGTGTTTCTAACGGTATTGCTTTGTTTAATAAAATACATTATTGTTTAATAAAAAAATCCCTAGTCTTTGAGGTATTTAGTCTATGTGTATTTAATGGCTAGCTAGTAGAGCTGGGGGACATGTAACTGTGCATCAACATAAAAGTTCTAAGCATCTCTAATGGCTTATTCTGCATAACTTCTCCAATGTCAGGATTGTACTGAAAATAAACCCTCTGGCTGTGCACTCTATTCTGGAGAGGATAGCAGCTGAGGAGGAAGAAGTTGATAATAACTTTCAAGAGGAAGAAGAAGGAGGGTCTCATTCTTTGAAGGATGTCTGTGATATTAGAAGACCAGAGCCTTCTCCTTTTTCTTCTCGTAGGGTCATGTTTGAAAATGAAGAGGTACTATAAAATTTTGTGATTGCTTTGTGCTTATGGTAGACAAAACTAGTATATTCTCACTACCTTATATGCACCGTCTGGCTTCCTGTTCTGTTTTTTTAACTTGAGATTTTTTTTTTTCTTTTTTCTTTCAGATGGTGATGCCAGGAGATGTAGTTGAAATGACTGAGTTTCAGGATAAAACAATTAGCAATTCTCATTACGTACTGGAACTCATGTTACCAAACATTCACTTAACATTACCAAACAAAAGCTTTTATGAAAAACTTTACAATAGGCAAGTATGAGAATTGTTTTACTTGGTTATCATGACCTGTACTTTTAGTTCTCTATTCATTGTTGATGAAAGCAACTGAATGAGCAGCCATAGCAGGAATTAATTTGTATAGTTTTCTAAGAACATAAAATGCTATGTAAATATTCTTACAAGTTAACATCAGAGACGCCACCGCGTCATATATCTGATCGGTGCCATAGCGGCCAGCTGCTGAAAAGCGTTTGGTAGGTTTTATGAACAAAGGATAAAGTTAAATAGCTTTTTGCCTTCAGTGAATACTTTGTTCAGATCTCTGTTCACAATGCTTTGTTTTGCTCTAATCTTTCTGGATTCTTCTTTATAAATAGATCATTGTACTTTAAAAAAAACTATAACATTCATTTTTATTTTTTCATTTTTATTCAGTGATTCTCTATCTAAAAATTAAGAGTCTAAAAGGCAGGCGGGGGAAAAAAACCCTAACAACTCAGTTT